AGTCGGCGAAATTCCAGTATATTCCAGTTACAGATACATTGCGATTTCGTCACTGAATGAGTCCAAATTTCCAAGAAAGATAACCAGTTTTATTTTCGCTAAAATGCAAAACAATTAATGTCGCATATCTTATGATGCAACTATTTTTTGTTAAACGCCGTACAGTACACGGGGACGGCGACAATCCAGTACCGACACCGCCACCACACAGTACCAGAGCGGAAGAAAAAACAAAAAACGTAAAAAAATGAAATGATCGGTTTCAAAATCGCACTGCTGTTGGCAAAAACAAGTAAATTAAGAAGCACTCATCTTCGTACCACTGTAAAGCACGAACGAATAACGCTGGTTTGTTTTTGTTGTTTTCTGTGTACGACTGGGGTAATGCGACCGCTCATCATCTGAGATTTCCGGCCGGGTTGTTGAGTAGGTGCTCCACAGCAGCACTGACGTCTCCAAATGTCGCTATTAGAGCTAGATCGAACGAAACAAGTTGAAGAAACTTGTACAGCAGCAAAATAAAAAACGTCACAGTGCATAGCATTTATCATATATCAAAACCTAATTCAGAATAAACTGCGGATTATAAAAGTGGTGCTGAAATCACTATGCCTTATTCCAAGCTCGCTTCGAGGAGCACTAATCGACTTTCAAGTCACATATGTACAAATGAATGAAAATAGGAACATAGACGCCTCATCTGAGGCAAAAATACAGTCTAAATATGATCAGACTGCGAGAATCACCTATGATACACTAATATACAAAATCTGAGCCCAAATTTCAAGCAAACACCAGACGCTAAAATAACAGTGAAAATTGTTCTTATATTACTGGAACTAAAGCAGACTTCTAAAGTAACTACCAATGAAAAGCAATCGTCATATTTTAGTTAAACGCCAGTATCCAAAAGGTGTTTTGTATCACTTGGCATTGTGGAAACGTAACGACGATTAATATCAGCTAAACAGGTAATCAATGCCATAACTCACGACATTCACCTAGTAAGAGGTTTTAGGGAGATTTTTACAGAATGCTAGAAATAGTTCTGGTAGTCATACCTGTCAAGCTGGCAACTGTTGAAT